AAACCGCAGGGTCGGTGTAGACCAGCTCTTGAGGTAAACACCTGGTTCTTATCAAAAACTGTCCTTTGTAAGGAGCCACAAATCTTCCTGCATCAATTAGTTCTCATTCCTTCTAGGCTGGCAACCTTGGCAAACCGTTATTATCTTTTTGCTTCATCCCCTCCCGATTCTCCCCGTCCTTGAATAGGGTTCTAAATTCACTAAGTAACTATACTACAGACTTTAAAAAGAACCAAAAAATCCAAGCTAGACGCTACTGACTTTAACAAAGCAACCGCAAGCTAGACAATACTAATTTTAGCAAAGTAACAGCAAGCTAGACGATAAGGCCTAAATTTTATGCATGTAAGCCGTTTTACATTTGGGGTCTTTTTGACCCTTAGGGTATCAGGACTGTCCCTGCCTGCTCCCCTGCAGGCCCTGGGCTATGTCCTGGGGTGCGCTGCCCACCCAAACCCCAACACAGGAGCAATCTGGGGCGGCTGCTCCCCGATGGCGTCAAAATCTCCCGTGCCAGCTCAGCCCTGGGTCACCATGTCAGCCATGGTGTGTTAACGCGATGTCACCATTGCATCACAAACGTGGCCCTAATTTAAGCAGCTTTCAGGGCAGCTCAGGTGTCACTCTGGCTTCGTGCGAGCCAGCGAACAAGCGAGCAGCTCCGAAGAGTGTGGAGAACACATCCGAGATGGACAGAAAACCAAACAATAAGGTAGGGGCAGGGTGCAGCGGTGTCACCCCAACCTCTCCTCCCCACAGGGGATCTCGCTGAGTTTTTCGGCCTCCCCAGTTGACCCCTTTGCACATCCCCCAGAAGTTGCGGAGATGCTGGCGCGCCCTGAGCGAGATGGAGGAGTGGAAGCTGACATTGCTGCTCTACATCTCAAGCCTGAGCCTCTGGGGCCTCTGCGTGGTCGTGCTGCCCTGTGCCCCCACCTTGTTGGCCATACTGGGTTTGGGCATCTTCACAATCTGGTGTCCCAAAAGCCAGGGCAAGGTAGGTGTCCGTCCTGCCATTGCCCCAAACACTCCCTTGGCAGGGGTTAGCCCGGGACCATCCTTGAGGTGCTCGGGAGGGTCCCCATTTTGGGAGGGAGCAGCAAACAGTGGCCATTGCCCACCCAGTCAAGCCTTTGCTCTGGAACCACCAAGCCACCCCCGCTGGGGCACCAGGCCTGGGACCAGGGACACTCCTGTCCCTGTAATTCCAGTTACACTGCCCGGGGTCCTTGTTTCCTGGGCAGGGACCCTCCTGGCCGAGGGGAGACACCCCGCACTAACCTGGGGCTTGCTTTCTGGGGACAGGGGACCTCTGAGGGGAAGAGCTCTTGGAGAAGCAGGAGGAAGGACCCGATAGGTGAGCAGCCCCATCCCAGAGCTGCACCAGGCTCCGCAGCAGCTCCCGGTCAAGAGCCACCACTGCAGCCGGAGCACCTGTGATGGCTGGCCTTTCTCACCCTCCCTCTGTTGGGGGAGGGCCAGGGCAAACCCCTGTGGGGACGGCAGGTTTCCAGGGCAATGCCCTCTGCTGACACTCGCCGTACCCTCTCCTGCGGAGCCCGCTGGTGGCCCCAGCACCCCTCTGGGTGCTCAGCCCCCAGACTGCGCTGGCCCCTTGCTCCTGGGGCTAGAACGTGCACGGCCCCTTGCTGTGCACCTCGTGCTGCTGAGCAGGGCTGGCCCCATGTCCCCATGTCCCCAACTGACCCAGAGCATCCCAGAGCTGGCAGGGCTGGCTCCGGGGAGCTGGGAGGTCACCCTGTCGGTCAGAAGGCAGGGAGAGGGTGCTGGGGCTGTGCTGTCCCACAGCAGC